AAATGTAGCCGTCTCTTCTACTCCAATAGCTTCATGTCTCGCACCTCTCGCCTGTGGAACCTCCCTCCCTTCCCTATTCCAGTTTCCCTGAGAGCTATAATCTCCAGCTATTCAAATGTAATGTCAATCGACATCTCCAGTTGCCTTGATCTATCCACTACCCTTCTCCTCATCCTTTCTTCTATCACTCCTATCTGATCTTGCTCCAAATTTTCTGTAACCCCTTGCGTCCTAGTGGCTTCACGCCTTGCTTGGGATGAAACGCTTAAAAAAAAAAAAAAAAAAAAAAAAATGTTTTACATAAATATATCTCTCATTATAAAAACTAAAAGGGTTGTCCGTCAAGTGAGAACATTTTTTAATATTAATAGCAAAATCATTCCCTATTGCTAATAACCCTCTCTTATCTACAGACCATTGTTATTTATGTGTCTCCATCTGTACAAATGGAATATCAGGTTTTTGTGTTTCTATAAATGTTATTTCCCTTCCTCTTTTGAGCCTGTTAAATGTTCATATATAATCTTATTTACCTAATCCTAAAAATATAAAAAAAACAATTATGTTCATACACTACACTTTTTTAATATATATATATTTTTAAAAAAAATGGATTTAAAAGAAATATGTTGACCGAGAAATATTTTTCTTACAAAAGAATAAGCAATGAACATTTTTTTCAACATTTTGATTTTTTCTTAATTTATCAATTTTTTATCTCCTAACATATTTTATGTTTCTACCACTTCTAAAATGTTTTGAAAAAAAAACTTTTCCTAATGAAAACGTATTTTTTTCAAAAAAACTTTTTCATTTAAAAGCCTGTTTGTTCTATAAAATATTGAATCTTTTGTGTCCAAATTAATCTAATAAAAATTTGAATTTCCTTAATAAAATATCTTTAAGGTTTTATTTTAATTTAATTAAAATTAATATATATATATTTATTTTGTTTTTTATGAAAAAAATTTAATATTCCTTTAAAAAAAAATTAATATCTAAAATATATTTTCCTGAAAAAAATCGCCTATAATCATTTTCATTCCAGCAAATAATAGTACTATTTATACATTGTCCAAAACTGATTTAAAAACAATCTTTTTTTTTCAAAATATTACTAACAAGGTAAAATTTTTTAAATTTTAAATTTTTCTTTTGATTTTAAAATAATATTAAAATGTTCAAACATTTTGTATGTCTGAAAAATTAAAACTATATATTTTATAATTATCAAATTTTTCAAAAAATCTACTTTTGATCTGAATTTATATGCTTGAAAATATCAATATATATTTATTCAAAAAGCATTAAAATGTTTTGTAATTAAAACAATGACAATACATTTTGACCATGTTTTTATTTTTCCTATTGAGTGTTGTTTTTTTTTGGTAATTTTTAAAAAATGTTTATAATGGCTAAAAATAAAAATCTTAATTTTATGAAAAAATTGTATCTAATTGTGAGTTGATATTTTTGAAAAAAATATTAATAATAAAAAAAAGAGTTCGTCCTTGTTTAATATTTTTTCATTTATGAGGAACGATTTCAAATTTACTGCATTTGAAAAAAGAGGTTAATGGTTAGTTAAAAGAAATCATTATTCTAATCATATTTTTATAAAATGAATAACTTTTTTTTTTCTATTGGTCATTTTTAAATTTTTAAGTTGAAATCATTTATAACTAAAACAATCTATCTCATTATATTAATCTGGAAAAAATAGGTTAAGTAATCAAACGATTAATCACTGATCAAAGTTTAATATACAACAGCCAAAACATATGAATAAAAATAGAAAATGAAAGTTTAAATTGTCCTTAACGAATTATTTTAAATTTGTTATGATACAGAATCTTTTCTGTAGTTATTAAGAAATGAAAAATTTTTTTGAAATAGAGAAAAAGAGTTATTTAGTTATTTTATTTACATGTAGTTGCAAATAAATTTTTCGAATACATATTTATCATTGATTTTTCATGAAAATGATTACTCTGCACTAAAATATCAAATTGATTGGTAAGGATAATAAAAAAAACCTGTTTAGGACAGATTTAGTCAAATACAAATCAAATTAAAATAACTCCAAAACAACTTTAAAAATATTTAAAATACAAAAATTCGATTTTTCAAAATTTCCCCACCACCAAATTTATGATTTTTCTTTTCTTTTTTGTATTTTTGGTTTTTTATATGTTCAGTATTTACTCACAGCCTTTAACTCAAATTAACTTTGGAAAACTCTTTAGTTTCCATTATAATATTATGGAACCTATACTATTATTTATTTATTGATTTGTTTTTTAGATAAAACAATTTGAAAAAACAACATTAAAATTGGCTTTTCTTTCAATTAAATAATTCCAAAGATGTCAAATCCAATGAATGCGATTATACAAAAGAAGTTGCGACACATTTGAGATCCCATTGCAACAAATTTTTTTATTTATCAGATATTAATTTTCTGTTTAAACAATTTACAGTTAAAAATATTGGATTTTGGGCAGGGAAACCTGTATATCACTGACAATACATTCATTATTTGAGAAATTAATTTTAAATATATTTTTTTTTATTTTGGCCTTTTAAACAATTTGAAAATTTGAGAAAAAGAATTTTTTTTTTTTTTTCCTTCCTTAAATAAAATATATAATTAAATTTCTTTAAATTACATACAGGAATTTCTCTCAATCCACTAACTAAAATTGTCCTATAATTAGATTTTTTTTCTTAATTTAAATATTATCTTTCCTATTTTGCTGCTTTACAAGTATTTATTTTTAAATCCTCTGTCCTTTTTTTATTGATTTTTCCTGTATGCTATTTTTCTTTTCCCGTTCAATTCCACCTTGCTCAATTCGAAATACAAAAATGTCATGCTGCTCAAATAAATGCAATTTTCGTTTTTTATAATTTTTTTTAAATAAGTATCGAAAATAAAAATTTTTCGAAATATAATGCCTACTGTATAAATGAACACCGTGCCGTTGCAGCTAAATTGAAAACAATATTTTAAAATCCTGAAAAATTTTCAATTTTGGAAATTTTCATTTCGATAAAATTTAACAATTTTAAAAAAATGTTATAATACCCTCTGCTCTTTCGGAAAATTATTGAAACATCACAACAACATGACAATATTTTCAAGAATTTAAGAACGATTCTTTATTGAAAATATATATATCTAAATATAATATATACACTGCGTGCCAAATTATTATCGAGATAACTTTTTTTCTAATATTTCAAAAACCGTCCAATCAATTCACACAAAATTTTCACACAATGTTGGCAACACTGACCTGCGCAATCACTGAAATTTTCGTACTGATCTGCACAATGTAAACAAACTGGCGCCATATTTGTTATCAGCATGGTGATTTGAGCGTGCCAAATTATTAGAAAGGTTCAGTAAAATTCCCAGAATTTAGCAAACAAAACGTTTATTAATGTTGTACGTGAATGTTTATGATCAAAAGAAGCTAATAAATAAGATAATCAAACAAATAATAACAGATACAAACAAAGGCACAGTTTTAAACAAATTAATAGGAATGTGCTTTTCCTGTTTTGAAATTACTTGAAGAAGTCGACGATCCATAGAATTTGTTAATTGTAGGATGTCATCTGCTGTAATGCCGCGAGATATGTCAAGAATTGCTTCCACAACTCAGCGTTGCTCCTGAATTGTCGTCCGTTGGTGTACAGTCTTCGCTTTCATGATGCTCCAAAGGTTTTCGATTGGGTTCAAATCCGGAGAATTTGCTGGCCACTTCATTTTTTGAGGTCCATCGAAGCCTAACTGTTTCAAATATTCAGTAGTCTTGTGAGCAGCATGTGAGGGAGCATTATCTTGCATAAAAAAATAATGGCCCTTCTGAAGGCAACTCTTTGCCTTTTCATCCACGGTTCAAGATGCTCCTTCATAAACGCTACGTATGCATCAGCAGTCATTTTGATGCAATCTGGTACTCTCCATAGGCCCACTAATGTTTTTCCAATAATACCACCCCAGATCATTATGCCTCCACCGCCTTGTTGGCGTCTCAAACACTGATGGCGATTCTGCCCATTCATTACCCAGCCTTTGCACCATCTATCTGGCCCATCAAGTGTTGCTTGAGTTTCGTCTGTGAACAAAACTTTAGAAAGTCAATCTTCATATTGTCCTCGGCCCATTTCAATCGATTTTGAATGTGATTTCTCGACAACGGAGGCTTCGATACAGGTTTCACTGTTGTTGCTATTTCCCTCAGATACCGACACCGAGTACTTTTAGACACAGTAGGATCCCCAATACGACTGAAAAGCTCTTAACTGGTAAGTCCAGGGTTCTTCGTGGCCTCTCGTTTAAGTCGTGACATGAGATGACGACGAAATAACCCTCGGCTTGCCTTTATCTGCCCTTTTGCGTACTTGTGTAGGGTCGGCGGTGAACTTTTTCACTGTTTGATGCCACCTCCCTATCATTTTAGAAATTTCTAGGGTAGATTTACCTTTTGAGAGTTCTGAGGTGATAGTTTTCTTTTCAGCATCACTTAAAACTGCTTTTACGGCCCATCTTTTCACACTAAATTCTTACACTTTTCTAATAATTTGGCACGCTCAAATCACCGTGCTGATAACAAATATGGCGCCAGTTTGTTTACATAGTAAAGAAAAAATTTCAGTGATTAAAGCGCAAAAACAGTTATTTTTAAATTTTATTTTGCCAACATTTTTAAAAAATTCTTTTAAAGTTATCTCAAAAGTAATTAATTTCTTAAAAATTTTGTCACCTATAATAGCTGAATATATGATATATATAACATGTCACCAGAATGGCTCCTTCAAGACTCCTGCGGACAGTCCTTTTCAGGAAGCTCATCAACAGCAAACGACATTGTGGAGACCCCAAATGCAGATTGAAAGACCAACGGAAATCTTCTTTCCTTGAAGCCAAAATCAGACCCCAACACCTGGGGAACAGAAGCTGATGACCGTCCATCCTGGTGAAGAACAATTCATTTCAGTTGTTCCACTTTTGATGGAGAAGAAGGAGACTGAGGAGAAAGTAAAAAGGAGGCAAGACAGGGCCCAGCAGCTCCAGCCAAAGCCATCATCCACCCTCCCATGCAACCAATGCCATAGACAGTTCCATTCCCAATTTGCCCTTTGGAGCTATGTCAGGTTTCAAGCATTGTTGAAGCACCGGATGAACCAAACTAAGACATGAATAGTGCTGCCACCGACACAGTCAATGTTTGAGAAAAGTCCCTCTAAACATGAAAATGAATTAAAAAGAACATTTTTTTTAATCATTTCACCTCAAGCAAGGCAATAAAGCCACTAAGATTGCCAAGTGTGGGGGGAAAAAAAAAAGAAAATCCTTCAGGAGAGAGAACAATAAAAGTACAGAAATTAAGAAGACAGAAGATAAAGATTGACATGCCATATAAACTTTTTGAGATCAAAGTTGACTGATAAGTAAAAACCTGCAAGAGAGTTCCACAAGTGAGAAGTGTAAGAGAAGAAATTGTTAGCAAAGAACTTGCAGTTGGCTCTAGCCAATTCAATTGTGAATTGATGAGACCTTGCTGCCAATCTAGTAATGTGCTTAAATTCATAACGTCTAGGAAAATATTTATAGAAAAGGGAACAGGTAAGTGGGTGGGAAAGTGACTTATCTGTAAAATTATTCAGTTTTATTCAGTTACTTACCTGTAAAATGATATGAGGTGATTTATAATTGATTTTGAAAAGTTTCAAATCTTTTGGAGAAATCAAAGTTCAGTGGCTATGATGAAGTCAGGGTAAATGCAGGAAATGTCATTTAGTGACTTGAAATATCGAGAAAGTTGAGAATTTGAAATGAAGAAATAAAAAATTCCATGCTAACAGTTTTTTCTATCACACTTCTTGTTTGTGGAACACTCTACCAACTACTACTCAAAGATTTTAAATGGAATGTCAATCTTTCTGTCATCTTAATTCTTGTTCTTTTATTGTTCTCTCTCATTAATAGTAATTTTTTGTTTTTATTTTTTCATATTCTCTAACACTCCTTGCATCTTAGTGGCTTTATTGCCTTGCTTGGGGCAAAAACAATAAAATGGAATTAAAAGAGAACAAAATCCAAAGATGAATCTGTAATGTTACTGGTCATGACCTGGCATCTTGACTTTATTCCCTTCCCCATTACTGTAACATAGCTTCCTGTATCTTTACTATAAATACTTTTGTGGTAATTGTTCAGATGAATTTTCTTCTGTGGTAAATAGACCTAATGAATTTAGGTGCAGTACTAGATTGGTGGCAAGGTCTCATCATTTTATAGTTTAAATGGCTAGATGCAACCATAAGTTCTATGTTAAGAGTTTTTTTTTTCACACTTTTTGCTTGTGGAACTCTCTTCTGGATTCTTGCTTCACATTCAATTTTCATCTTCAAAAATTTAAATACAATGTCAATCATTATCTTCTGTCTTTTTAATTCTTGTTCTTTTATTGTCCTCTCTCTTTAATAGTAGTTTTTCTCATATTCTCTAACACTCAAAACCCCCCTTGCATCCTAAAGGCTGTATTATTAAAATATATATCTTTCATTAAATATGGAAGGCAAGGGAGATTTAATTAAATTTTTTTTTATTTATTTTTTCAGGCATCTTTACGTTTTTCCATCAAATTCCATATAAATCAAATTACTGGAAACATCTCGCTATTAGAGAGGCCCTGTATATTAAACAACTCTCTCCTACTATCAACCTTACATTATTTAACAGTGGAAATGGAATGTTGAAGTATTTTACAAATGAAATGTTCTCAAGTGAATTCCAACTGCACTCAACATGCGAAGACTTGGAATAAACACTCCTATTCAAAAACACAGTAATAAAGTACAAGCCCCCACTACACACACACACACACACACACCCACCCTTGTAAATGGCTAAAGAAGTGGCTGGAAGCATTTCAAGCAATGAAAATTATGGGAAATACTCCTACAAAATGGAAAAAAACATAAGGATGCTGGAAAACTAAGAAAAATAGCTGCCCATATATATATATATATAATATAGGTTTAAGGTGAGCTATATTTATGGAATAAAGTACTCAATATCAGAGATAGAGCATATGTAAACATGAATATAAAAGTGAACATTGAAGTCAACACTCGGAGGTGACAGGCTGTTTCATGCACTTCAATGTTTATATATATATATATATATATATATATATATATATATATATATATATACATATATATATAGATCTCACTTCTAAGGTAGTTGTGGGGGACAACATTAATGTGTTTACTGCAATTCTACAAAATATAGCTGAATCTGGAGAGCGTTTATTTAGCAAACTATCTGTCCAATTTACATTGATTCTTACCAGAATGTCTGAAGCCACAATCTGATATGAGGCTCTTTTGCAATGGTCATATCTTGGTTGAAGGTACTTTTTGACATAGCTGTCTGGTTTCTTCATAAGAGGAGAAATGTCTGTGGTCACTTAGTTTGTGCTCGAGAATTTTTCATTACATCCAGAGAGATGCAGTCTTCCTCTCATCAAGATGAAAGAATCTCTAATACACAGACTCAATGCCTAACCATGCTGTTAGCTATGCTAAATGCCTGAAGATCTTAGGTCAAGAATGATTGTAAGATTTGGCCGTCTAAGGTATTAAATTTTTGGCAGTTTTTACCTCAGTATTTATTCTTTCTACATATAAATCTTTGCATTTCAAGAAAGTCTTTAGTCAAGAAAATCACTGCCCACAAGAATGAACAGAATTCTTCTGGCTGGTAAGCAACATTAAACCACTAGATGACCACACCTGAATAATGGACAGGTGAAAATACTGAATGGATAAAAACACAACCATCTACAACAGCTCACTTGGTTTTTGCTGGCTGTGACTATAAGTGGTGATATTTGGATATAGTGACTGATCATTATATATATATATATATATATATATATATATATATAGGGTCTGATTGAAAAGTATTGGAACTGGTGCTATGAGAGAGAGAAAATAAAAGAGAAGAGAGAAAAAAGACAAGAGAAGAAAGGAAAAGGAAAGAAAGAGAGAAAAGACAAGGGACAAAAATGAAACATTATTATGAATTAATTCTTTAATCAGATTTTGCTTGTAAAATCCACAATACTCAAATGGCTGAAATACCCAGAAGCCATTAATCTGAGATCTCTTTTAATGTCTTCCTCAAACTGTGAACGTCATTTTTTTTTCCTCTATCCACCAACTCCTATGTTCTTACTTGACAACATCATATTTCTAATCTGCAAAAGTAGGATTTCATTTTTGTTTTCTTTTTCCAAACTAAAATGTTTAAGCGAATGTTTTTTTTTTTTCCATATTTATTATTTGGAGAAATGCATATTTTCTGCCCAATATGAACATTAGTAAATTGATTTTGATATCACTTGGAAAATCAATAATAAATCTTTAAGTTTATTATTTTACTAGAAATAGAAATTCATTCTATTTATTGCAAGAGATGGAAAACAAGATTTGTCCTGAATTGTTTGTTGCAAGTGAAATTTCCATTTGCAAGGAAATGTCTCAAGAAGATGCAAATATAACTTTAATTGTCTCCTATCAATTGTAAACATACTTTTTAGTGGGTACACATATTTGAGTTGACATTCCTGTGTTTTATTTGAATTTGCTGAAAGTCTTTCAGTTCATTTGAGCAGAATTCAGAGTTTCTTCTTGAAAATAGCCAGAATTGGTGCATTTACAACATCACTAGCTAAAGAGGTTCACTTCTCTAGCAAAGTCAGGGCAAAGAAGTTGAATCTTGCAACTGTTTTTGAATGTTGTTTCATAACCTTGTGTGAATGACCATGCAGGCTCCTGTTTGAGAAGTTGAAGAAATTGTTCACTTCTATTTCGTAATGCCCATTTTATATACCTCACACAGATCCGTGAACTAGCATTTAACTTGTAGCTAAGCCGAGGTACCTGTCCTGGGTGGACTGCAATAAGTCAATATCTTTTTTTTGCAGTTTGGACTCCAAATAACAGTCCCATAATTGATTTCTTGTTGAGTAAGTGTAGTGTTGAGAGTTTTTACTTTTTCTTGGAGTAAGCTACATGAAGCAATGTTTGATCATACCCGAGTCCCCACCCTGCCTTCCATCAGTATGGCTGATGCTAACCTTCTGGAGAGCGACTTGTTCCACCTTCTCAGGTTAACATTCTTGTCTGACATGAAGTGGACAGACTATATTGAATTCATTGCTAGGTCAGCTGTTAAGAAAGTTCACTGTGTTGTGCTAGTCTGTTTTTCTCTCCAGAATCTATCTTACATATCTATGAGTCTACCATCCATCCATGCTTAGAATATTGCTGCCACATATGATATGGTGTTCATGCTATATATTTACAGATCCTTGATAAAATCCAAAGAATCAGCAATATTATTGATCCTGATCTGGCATCTCTGCTTCAATCACTTTCCCCACCATACTAAAGTTGCCTCTGTGCCTTTTTCTATAAATAATTTTATGGTACTTGTTTTGGATGATCTCTTCGCTATGGTACCTAGACTGTATGAATTTAAGTGGAGGACTAGATGGGCAACAAGGTCTCATCAATTTACAGTTGAGTTGGCTGCATGTAACCATAAGTTCTATGCTAACAGTTTCTTTATTTACACCTCTACCTTACAGCTCCATAGTTTAATCTTTAATTTTCAAAAATTTAAATGCAATGTCATCTGTTATCTACTGTTTTTCTGATTACTAAGGACTGAGAACAAATGAAGAGTAATGTTTCCATTTTCTGAGTCTTTCACAACCAGTAACCCCTTGTGTATTGGTGGCTTGACTGCCTTGCTTGGGGTGTATTTGATTATGACAGAAAAAAAAAAAAAAAAAAAAAAATTGATTAGGCAGCATTACGATTTCAGAAATACATCATCTTGGTGCTAAATCCTGGGAAATTAAGGTTGCTAATTTTTTTTTTTTTTTACAAAAACCATCTAGTATTTAAGTGAATTTCAACTGGTAACTAATCTTCATTACAACACTTTGTCCACATTGAATTTTAGATGCCATAATAAACTCCAAGTTGAAAGTGAATTTAAATTGTATTGAAGCAATGAGCAGTCTTTGTCATTGTGTGACAATCGTCTTAGTGAAGCAGTTTTATTAAGACATGAGGTAGATAGGGTTAAAAAGCATGTAAAAGGCAAGAATGGAGAAGGAAAGGGAGAGTGATGTTTAATATGTATATGTTAAATATATAATTTTAGAAAGACATAAAGGTTGAAAATCAACTTGGAAAATAAGAATAAATTTAAAAATTCCTACTTGGAACTGTGAGGATTTGAAACTGAAAATCCTAAGTAAAAGAGTTAGAAAGGGTAATACCTGAATTCACATATGAATGAGTCATATCATGTGATGTTAGACCAAAATTCTGATGGAGGAATTTTAGCTTATTTTCACTGACCTAAATCATACTATTCTTTAATCTGTTTATATTCATAAGTAATTTTAAGAACAGACCAAGGAATTTATCTGGCCTTGGATATCTGTCATGCCTGATAACGCAGGACACGAGGGTGTCCTCCATAAATATGAGTTGCAGGAATGTACAGTGAGTCTGAGTCCTGGTTGCTAGCTTTGTCAATTAGCTCATCATGTCAATCACACCTGAAAAGTAATTTTGTTTCAACAAATTTCCTAACATCGGATAACTGAATTGAAAAAAGGCAAGTACCCCCCACCTTTTTTTTTTACCTTCTAATACCTACCGCGAATGTAAAAATAACTTCACCGGGCAATTTTCATAGCTTGTTTTTAATAAATCTTTTTTTATTGAAGATAAATCCATTTATCAAATTGTGTATTCTTATGATGATATTCACCCATTATTGGGACAAAAAGAAAACCATGGCTCGGTGAGAATGAGTGAAAGTAAATAATCTTCCTTTCTTTCTCTGAAAATCATAACGCGAATCACTGGATGATACAACTGTGAATAGCAGTATAACACACAAGGAAGCCCAGCAAAGTAACTACAATCGTGGGCGGATGTTCATAGACTAGTGGCAAGATTTCATTATTTTACAGTTGAAATGGCTCAGATGCAACCAATAATTCCATGCTAGCCCCTTTTTTTATATCGCACTTCTTGCTTGTAGAACTCTCTTCCAGCTTCTTGCTTTCCTGTCAATTTGGATCTTGAAAAATTTAAATGCAACATCAATCGTTACCTTCTCTCTTCATTTTTCTTCTTCTTTTATTGTTTCAATAGTATATTTTTTCTTATGTTCTCTTGCACTCAGTAACTCAGGCATCTTAGTGGCTTTATTAACAAAACAACCAACAATGAATAGCATCATAGTCCACAAGGACATGCTCGAAAAAGTTACCATGGGCACTGATTTAAGCTCATAATTGATGCAATGATATAATTCAGAGCAATGACTCCCACTAAGGAGCACATGCCCCACTGGTGGGGCAAGCGTAGGACGTGCATGCTTTGACTTATTATACTAAGAGAATAAGGGGGCAATTTGAGAATGAGTTATTAACATTTATTAATATTAATTTGTTGTTACCATTTCCATATTTAGCTGAATGTGGCTTTAGTGTTGTAAATGATTTGTTATTGAAGAAAAGAAATCAACTGGATATCACTAAACAAGGAGACTTGAGGCTAAAGCTGACTAAATTGGTGCCTAATATAAAATCTATCTGTAGCAGGCATGACGCATAAGGATCTCATTAACAGTCATTTTGTGATGAGCTCAAATTTCATTTTGCATTATTATTTCATTATTAAAATGATCAAAGTATATTACAGAATAAAGTTTCATTCAAATAATTTTATATTTCTGCTTTCAGTTCTTTATTATGTTTTGAAACTATATATATTTAACTGTCTTTTTTTTTATTTTTCTCTTTCATGGACGCCATGGTCTTTGGAGACTTGTTTAGAGACCAAGTTAATGGCTTTTAAGGTTCCTTCACATGAATTACAGTAAAATTTTGAATATGTAAGAATTAAATATTACAGTGAGGCACCAGAACTTTGATATTTCCAAAGTGAAGCATGGCCCAAAATCAGTTGGGAACCACTGGTTTAGTCATCACCAAATAATTTAGCATGAAATTGATCAGTGTAATTAATGTCAACCGGCCTAGATGAGGAAGTCCTACTCAAGGGAAACATACATCCTGACAAAAATTGAACCTATGTTCCCTTTTTCCATCAGGGAATCTCCATAAAAAGTGTGCTTTACCAAATAGGCCATGGAAAACTGTCACCATACAACAAAAGGTACAATGATCTACTTAATGAATGCATATTAGCTTTTGTTAGGACCTTTTCATACCGGAAATATTTTTTAACAGATATTTTAATCTGATATTATTTCTTATTTTTATTATTATTACTAGGAATTCATACGGCAATTGCTATACAAAAAACCCTGGAGTGGAACCCCAAAGGCAGTTGGCTGTCAACACTGACTACTTTCCAGCAACTACTGCAACCAAGCCGTCCCCAAATACAATGTCCTGTATTCCTTTGGATCTTGTCGGTACAGCCAAAAAATATAGTTTTAACTTTTTAAAACATTGCCATGGTCACTCACTGAATTTCCATTCTTGACAACAAATGAAAATAACAAATTTAAAAAATCTCTTTTGTTTCAAAGTAAATTTGTAAAATTAATGAATAACCAAATGGATTTTGTAAAAATATCTATTTTTTGTTTAAACCATAATGAAAATAACATTTATATATGCACAGTAACACACAAGCTGTTATAATCAGTAGATTTGTAATGTTAACACTTGAAAATGGTATTAAACTTTACATTTTTCAATTCAGGAAACATTTCTTCCTTTAATAGAAAAAATACTTTACTGGAAGAATTTTAGAAATGCAATGAAGAATTAAAAGTAAATTTTTTAAAAATAGATATTCAATGTAGATTTTTTTTTTTTGAGTCAAATGTGAAATAAAATATTTTAAATTATGCGAGTACCAACTGTCAAACAAAATATTTTTTAAGTTATTGTTTTGGTACAGTTCATGATGAACATTCAATATGTTCTTTTTTATTAAGTGGCTTTTTTTTCTTTTTGAGAACAAAATTTTCCCAATGTTTAGGCTGGTCTGATCTAGTCATTATGGATTCAATATCTTTGACTTGAAGACCCCCTATCTGACATCACATTTACAATGATTTTTAACTTGTCTGAAGCTTGCCTCTTCAGTTATGCATTGTTAAAATTGTTTTTTTGTCCATTAGCACACGAGACGGAAATTTTATATGAACTTTGATTATAATTGTGTTGCTAATTGAGCGACTAAGATAGATTTAGTAACATTTTCATTTTTTAAGTTTTATCAAGAAATTTGTGCCTGTATTCATTTCATAGAATTTACAAGCAAAACATTCTTTATTATCAGATGTTAACACCTCAAATTGAGGAATAGAAGACTTACTCTTATTTAACAGACTATAACAGAGCTGCCAGTAGTCAAGAGAAATAAATTTTAATATTTATTTTTATATTTATTTCCAGAATATTTTTTTAATCATCTCACTCCAAGTAACCTCAAGGAAAGCGACTCATTGTGCCATTTTGGGCTAAAATTTTCCACTGACTTGAAGTGAAAAGATTTTTTTGAATCAATTGCTAGGTCTGCTTCTAGGAAAGTTGGTTCACTGTGTCGGGCTAGACAATTTTTCTCTCCCAAATCTATCTTACATATTTATAAGTCTACCATTCGTCCTTGCTTTGAAAACTGTGGCCACGTCTGGTCTGGTCTGGTCTGGTGATTAGAGATTCTTAATAACATCCAAAGATAAATCTGTAATTTTATTGGTCCTGAACTGGCATCTCAGCTTCAATCACTTTTCCACTGTGGCAATGTAGCTTCTACAAATACTTTTGCAGTATTTACATTATGCAGATTTATTTCATCTACTGGGGTAGATGATTCTAGTTCCACGTGCCATGCCTCATCCAGATGTCTCAGTTATTTCTCTTTAACTCAACTCTCCAAGTTTTTTGGCTCACCACTGTTGCAGCCTGGTACTGAACTCACAACTCTTTAGATATAGTCACTGGATCTAACCAACGACTTTATCCAGTGACTAAACCCAAAGAGTTGTGAGTTCAATACCTCATCTCAGAGATCTAGACTTTCACAGTAATTGTTCTAATTCATTTTTTGCTATAGTACCTAGACTTTATGAACTTAAGTGCAGTACTAGATTGGTGAACTGGTCTCATCAGTTGAAAGAGCTAGATGTAACTAAGTTCTATTTTTAAATTTTATTTTTTACAGTAAGATTCACCCTGTAAAAGTCCTGAGGGCACTCAAGATAGAGTTATGTTAAGGAGTTGTTTATATGGATAGGAGGGGAAGGTAATAATTAACTAGACTTGAACAGCTTAAGATTGTAGCGATCAGAGAAACATCCTCTTAGGAGTCTGTTCCACAGGGCAGTAGTTCACAAAAAGAAGCTATTTGAATGGAATGTCTCGCTGATAGAATCCAGAGGAAATGTGGATGGTTTGCTATAATGTAAGTGGTGTGGTGGATCCTAGCTGTGAAGGGTTAGGCCCTGGCAGAGCCAAGGAATGTAGCTCGTCTGAGCACTTTCCATGGAAGACATTTTTAAACTGAATAAGGAAAAGAGAGAATGAATAAGGAAAAGGAAAAGAGAGAATGAATGAAGATAGAGAGAGAAGGCAAAGACGACGCACGACAGAGAGAGAGAGAGAGAGAGAGAGAGAAGGCAAAGACGACGCACAGAGAGAGAGAGAGAGAGAGAAGGCAAAGACGACGCACAGAGAGAGAGAGAGAGAGAGAGAAGGCAAAGACGACGCACAGAGAGAGAGAGAGAGAGAGAAGGAAAAGAGACGATTTTCAGAGAGAGAGAGAGAGAGAGAGAAGGTAAAGACGACATTTACTGAGAGAGAGAGAGAGAGAGAGAAAAGACGATGACAGAGAGAGAGAGAGAGAGAGAAGGCAAAGACGACGACAGAGAGAGAGAGAGAGAGAGAAAGGAAAGACGACGACAGAGAGAGAGAGAGAGAGAGAGAGAGAGAAAGATTCTCCGACAGAGAGAGAGAGAGAGAGAGAGAAGGCAAAGACGACGACAGAGAGAGAGAGAGAGAGAGAAGGCAAAGACGACGCACAGAGAGAGAGAGAGAGAGAGAGAAGGCAAAGACGACACTTCAGAGAGAGAAACAAGAAGATGTAGAGAAAGCGGAGGGAGAGAAAGGAGGGAAAGGAGAGGAATGGAGAGGAATGGAGAGGAATGGAGAGGAAGCGGAGAAAGGAGAGAAAGCGGAAGGAGCGGAAGGAGAGAAAGGAAGGAGAAGGAAGGAGAGAAAGCAGAGAAAGTAGGAGGGGGAGAAAGCAGAGAAAGTAGGAGGGGGAGAAAGCAGAGAAAGTAGGAGGGGGAGAAAGAAGTTTGTGTGTGTGTGTGTGTTACATGAGAGTCAAATTCATCACAAACGTAATGCTTGGGATTACAGCAAATCATAATTTTTCAATCTCCTTAATATAAAGGTTACAACAGTAACTAATTTATAAGGTTTCAGCTTTGCCGAAAAAAACAGTCATCTTCTATGTTATTTTCTCTTTCCAAATTTGAGTCAATCAATCAATCTCTCTACTTCCAAGCTCTATTCCTGATAAGGAGTGTAAACAGTTTAATCGATGATTGAGGAATCTGAAATCAACAAAAGGACTGGAAATTCTATATACTAAACTTGAATACTGTCATCACATCTGGGTCTGGTGCATCTGCTGTGTATTTATAGTAGATACCTCCATTGGTTCGCTAAAAATATGAGCATACCATGAGGAAAAAAAGCTACAAACTTAATAAAAACAAAGTTTTATCACCAAAATCTTTGATATTATTGACAAAGACCAAAGGATTTCTTGTTTATTAAATTATATTTTTTTTAGCCTTTTTTTTAGTGTTATGGTCCAATTCCTTGTACCACGGTGATAGTCCAAGGTAGAACCAATAAAGAAGAACTTGAATACAGATATGGAATAACACAGATATATTACAAACAGGAATATATACAGAGAAGTAGAAAGTGTTAGTACGAACAATCAGGTTTAGTAGTAATTGTCTGAACACGACTGTTTCGGACTGCCTCTGACTCGACTCTTGACTCGACTGACTGACCGACAGACTCCTGACGGACCTCACTCCAGACTGAACAGTATTCAGTCACCCCCCCCCCGAGAGCATCATGTGGCACAAGGCCAGTTTAACGTGGGATCTCCTAGCCCATGGGCTCGGCCAAAAATATGCCCTTTGAACCCGTATAAATGGGTTCAGGGTTGGTTTACCTCCCCGAAAGAGACTCCGCCCTTCGGCGTAGCCTTGTTCGGGTTCTTCCCCGTCCGAAGGCAGAGAGTTCAACCGATCAGCTGGTCGCCCAACTTCAGACTAAACGTTATTTAGTCACCCCCCCCCCCACGAGGGCATCATGTGGCACAAGGCCGGTTTAACGTGGGATCTCTGAGCCCGTGGGCTTCGGTCTGAATTCCCTGCTTCCTCTTGAGGCGCAGTATTTATTACGTATGGAATAGTCCATTATGTTATTATGGGTAAGGTCCCATAACATTTAGTTTTGTGTCAGGGTGGGGAGAGTATTGGAAATTTTAGTGTCTTTGTTTTTGTGATAAAAACACACCGATTTGGAAATTTTTGCAAAACTCAATTGTTGGATTTTAATGAGACTCTCAGGAATTATTCACAAAGGAATTAAATTATTTTAGATATGCTTTTTTTTTTTTTTTTTTTTTTTTTTAAAAGAAAATCTTGGAAAATTCTTTTTTTTTTTTATATCTTTTGGACCACTTAATGTTTATATTAGTTAAAAGCAGAAGTCCTTGGAGAATTTAAATCAATTAATTTCTGTAAAACAGAATAAAATATATTATTGGCACTATTGTTGTAACAAAAAAATTTTTTTCAATGAATAAGGAATTTTTACAAGAATTATTTTCAGCTTTTTAGAATATTAATTAGAATAATTCATAAACTTTTAAATTTCTGTATACTTTGTCCCAGTTGGGTGATATTGTTATTAAATAAAAACTATACTTACTAATCATAAATTGAAAAATTTAGTACAATTAATTGACCACCACTATTTTAAAAAGAATTTAAAAATTTTTTTTTGTATGCATAAATGTGCTGATTTTTGTAAGTACAGGCATCCATACACAAAATTATCAGAAAATAAGAGTGGTAACTATAATAAGTTTAAAGCCGACATCCTTAAAACCCATTAAAACATTAGATTATGAAGAATATTTTAAAGTTTTAGGATTACTGGTTAGTTAGAAATTATAGAAAAAAGATGCTCATGCTATGTTCTTCAATTAAATTTTACAGAGACGTCTGCCAGAGAAAAAATTAGATAAACTTCCATCTGTCAGTCAAGCTATCAACATCTTAAATAAACAGCTACTGCCATGTTAAAAATTCATTTCTACGATATTTTAAACTAAAACTTCTATTTGTTTCACATTGACACTGATGAATGGAAAGAAATGGGTTAAATCAAAAAGATAGCACAGAAGGTTAATGAATAGAATGGTGGACAGACCACGAGAAAGAAGGGAGATTTCTCTTTTTCCAAGAGGAAAGCTTAATTCTCTAAAAACAGAAAAATTACTTAAAGAAAGATAATATTACCACAAGAAGCCATGAGGTGAACTTTAAACTGTTTAATGAGGCAGTTGCAGAAATACTGGTTACAAAAACAAAATATAAGATGAATAAGATTTGATCTGTAACCAAATCAAGGGAATAGAGTTTCTTCATGTAACCTAGGGTGTTTGGAGTGCAATGACCCTGGTAGAATTGGTCGGGGAGGGTGACTGGCCAGAGGAAGCAGCTGGCAAACTTCTGAATTTTAAGCAAAACCAGGTCTGAGAAATTTCACCTATGCAAAATTTAAAATGATAATTTTAATTAATGACCATAAGTTAAGCCATGACAAGATGTGTTGAAGGGCAGCCAAGGTGACAGTTGCCAGTGAAATATCAAGGAAGATGGAAGAATTGTCAACACCCACTGGGAAGTATTGGTGTGAGGTACCAAAATGAGAAGGAAAGAGTGAGGGTGGACTGGTATCCTGCTATCACTACTCATAGAAGAAGGGATCTCCCCAAAATTGGACATGTAATTAATTTCCCACAGCCACACAACAATGGGCTCTTGTTGGCAATTAGCGTAATCACCAAAACCCCAAGCCACATCAGGACCCATACCATTTTGGGGCAAAGGTTCATATAAGCAGGAGATTGAGGCGACCAAGACAGTTGATCCAGATGCTAAAGGACTGCTTCACCTGATCTTACATGATTTCCTGCCTGAAGAAAACCTCTTGACATTAAGCCCTGTGCCAAAAGCAATGTTCAGACATAGCTAAACCAACTGAAATATAAATATCATGCTAAAGCTCACGGAGTCAGAACGTTTGATATTTTCTTCATGAGGAACTAACCATTTATATTATCAGGAATTAACCAAGTTCTGTACAAAGAATGTATATATGAAAACATTTACTTTTATCAATTTTTTTTGTTTTTACTTGTGACTTCAATCTGCCTAGACCAAACCAATAGAACGATTCAATCTTAGCCAGCCTTGATCAATATCAAACACATTGGACAAGGCAAAGATTGGATCAAAGAAATCAATTGGATGATCAGCTGACATTGGACAAATGGGAAAAAGATCAGTTCATATTCCTTAAATAAAGTTTCAGAAAAGTATATTTTATTTTTGAAAGATTTTTTTTAATAAAGAGAATTACATTGTGATGAAAGATTATTAAAAATGGCACTAAAATCAGTGATGTTCAGTGATTTCAAAGTCATTTTAAATTGCTTTTGAAATACAGCAAAATATTTTGCTAATTGCAAATATTAAAATTCAAAGCTTCAAGAAAGATTTTTTCATTTTCTAAAATTCTTTTTAAACATTGGGTATTGGAATTTCTGTGACAGTACCTAATTTATACATTCTAGATTTTAAAAGATCACTTTTGTGCTCATATAATCTTTTATTTAAATTTGTAGATGTTTCTCCTATGTATACTTTGTGACAGTTATTACCAGTGAATTCCTCCCTCAGGTTTTTGTTTAAATCAACTGGAAGTTATCATCCTATTATAATTGTGCTTGTCCTACTCTTTGTTAATTTGCACGACCATTGCACCCTGCTAATAAGTAATAAATAATGAATGGTGTTTTGATGGTGCACAAAGAGGGGGAAAAACTAGTTGGTTTCAGTGAGAAAATGAAAGAAAGATAGAGATATCAAGTTTCAAAAGAGAGAGAGACATTAAATTTGAAAAGAGAGAATTTACCTATCATAAGAGAAATAGGGACAAAGATAGGAAAAGAGAGAGAGAGAAAAATTTCAGAATTCAGAGACAGAATTTAAATTTCAGAAGAGAAAGTTAAATTCCATGATAGAGAGAGAGAGAATGAGAAATTAAATCTGAACAAGAGGATAATTAAATTGCAATTAAAAGGGAAAAAAGACAGAGAGAGATTAGGTTTTGAAAGAGAGAGAGAGAGAGAGAGAGATTAGGTTTTGAAAGAGAGAGAGAGAGAGAGATTAGGTTTTGAAAGAGAGAGAGAGATTTCACCAGGTTTTGAAAGAGAGAGAGATTAATTATGTTTGAAAGAGAGAGAGAAAGAGAGAGAGAGATTAGGTTTTTAAAGAGAGAGAGAGAGAAGAGAGAGGTTTTTAATCCAAAAGAGAGAGAGAGAGAGATTAGGTTTTGAAAGAGAGAGAGAGAGAGAGAGAGAGATTAGGTTTCGAAAGAGAGAGAGAGAGAGAGAGAGAGAATTTAATTTTCAGAAGAGAGATGTTAAATTGCCATGATAGAGAGGCTGAGTGTGAGAAATTAAATTTGAACAAGAAAGAGGGTAATTAAATTACAAGAGAGAGAAATCTCGAGTTTCAGAGAAGAGAATACAAGAAAGATAGAAACAGAGAGAGATTATGATTGAAGAGGCGACATTTTTATCCTCGAAAGAGGGCAGGAAAGAGTGACTGAAATTAAACCTGAAGAAGATGGAAATTATGAAAGAAGGGAAATTATGACATTAAGAAGCGAGGGAAATTAAAACTCAAAGAGGCGCAGGAAATTAATTAAAGAGGCTTATTAATTATTTAAATATTCATTATTTTATTTAAAAGGAAAATTCAATATAGATACGAGGGAAATTATCAAGATGAACTCGACAAATTAATTGAAGATGATTAAAAAACTTACAAGAGGCTCAGGAAATTAACTCAAAGAGGCGAGGGAAATTTTGACTCAAGAGGCGCAAAAAATTAAATTCCGTTTATAAGGAAACTTGAAGACATTTTTAAAGAAAATTAATTTTATGAATATATAAAGAAAATTGAAGCGAGAGGTTACTGTTGACATGAAACTTAAAATTAAGTTTTAGAAGAGTGAAAGAGTGAGAAAGAAATTAAGTTTCAGGAGAGGGAGAGGTGGGGGAGAATGAAATATCCTCTGCCCACACTCCCCATCAAAAAAACTAAAAGCAAAAACCTTACCTGAATCGTCCTGTTTGAGAACTTCAAATAATGTTTCTCCAGTATCACAGTCTCGTAACTTGAAGCGAATGAAATCTATGCCATAAATATTCGCTTCTGGTGGGCATAAATAGCCTAAAAAGGAAAAAGAAAATTTGTAAAAAAAATCACTAAAAAATTTATTCATAATTTTTATATAATCATTCCACCCCGAGCATGGCAATAATGTCACTCAGACGCAAAAGGTCACTTGGGGTAAAAGAGAACAAAAAGACTTTAGTGAGGAGAAAGGACAATAAAAGAACAGGTTATAGGAAGGGCGATGGCGGAAACTGATGTTGTGTTCAAATTTTTGAAGATCATAGGTGGCAGAAAAAAAAAAAAAAAAAAAAAAACAGAAGTTCCACAGATAGGAACTACAAGAAAAACTATTAGAATAAAATTTACAGTTACATTTAGCTATTTCAACAGTAAAACTATGAGACCTAGTTGCCAATCTAGCAGTACAATTAAACTCACATGGTCAAGGTACCAAAGGAAAGAACTTATTAGATCAATTATGCTGAAAATATTTTATTCACTTTCTTATATATGGAAGGATATGAGAAATACATCCCTATACATCGGAACAATGTTGGGTAAGTGAATGACAAAATGGAAAGAAAAGTCTTTGTAATGCATTTCATCCCCTAAAAGGACTTCAGACTAAAGAAATGTTCTTATTGATTGATTTTTAGCCTTTTTGGCTGATGCTAACCTCTAAGAGAGTGACTTGTTGTGCCTTCTCAGGCTAATGTCTTCCACTGAGATGAAATGGAAAGTTAATATTGAATCTATTGCTAGGAAAGTTACTTCACTGTATTATTCTAGGAAATTTTCTCATGGCAGAATCTATTTTACACCTTTGTAATTACCATTTATCTACCATTCACCCATGCATTGAATAATACTGTCACATCCAGTCTGGCACTTCTGCTATGTATCTAGAGATTCTTGGCAAAATCCAAAGAAGAATCTACAATGTTATTGATCCTGAACTAGCATCTCAGCTTCAGTCACTTTCCCAAAGCCATAACATAACTCCCCTGTGCCTTTTTATAAATATTTTCATGTGATTTTTCTGATAGGCCTTCCTCTTTGAACATTGACTTTATGAATTTAAGTGCAGTACTCGATTGGCAGTTAGGTCTCACCATTTAACATTTGAAATGGTTAGATGCTATCAGAAGTTCTATGCTAGCAGTTTCTTCGTTTCCATTTTTTACTTGTGGATATCTCTTAGTCTTCCTGCTTTCCAATCAAAAAATTAAATGCAAGATCAGCATCTGATGTCTCCTTGAATCATTTTCTTTTATCATTCTATCTTTAATGCTTTTCTTTTTCTCATATCTTTTTCACACTGAGTAGCCCCTTGGCATCTTAATGGATCTATCACCTTCTTTGGAGTGAAATGATAAAACAAAAATGTAGTGGGAGGGGAAATATTTTATACACAGGGTGTAATGGGTAAACAGAATTGAGAATCATAAATATTGGAACTTTTTGGGGTATCTGAATTGAAAAATTTTTAACCTAATTTCTGATTCCAAAAAGAATTCTTTGGATTTTTTATGTTTAAAACTTAATTTTCCATTCTTGGTACTAATGGTAAAAAGCCAATATATTTTTCTTTGACATAATTGATCTTTCCTGTGTTCAATTATTATGACAGTTAAAATATTTTGAACTTTTCTCATTTATTCCTTCTCAGAGCCAAACAAGATACAAGTTTTATATATAGAAGTGTATAAACAAATAAGAGTTAAAAATGAGTATTTTTATTCCATTTATATCTGGTATAATTAAACTACAGTTTTCTCCACTTTTCACATGGTTTGTTTTAATATTTTTAAAATAAAACTAGTAAAACTTCATCTTCTAATAATCTAATGAATAATTGGGGGGGGGAGACAAAAAAAAAAAAAAAAACAATCTCATGCATAAAAAAAACAAAAAACAAAAACAGTTGTTTTTAGCCTTATGAAGATTTTAATCATTTTTAATCTTATTTTTTATTTTAATGCTTTGTAACAGTTGGACATCAACATTATTTAGCTTTCAACTTCTTAATATTTTTTTAAAATTTATTATGAAGGTTGTTATATCTCTTTAAAATAAAAAAAATATATCAAGGGATATGTTTTTACTGTGTTGTTACATTTTTACTTTTTTTCTTTTAACAAAAATAAAATGGATTCTTTTTAGAAATTAATAATTTTTTTAGTTTTGAGAAATTTATTTTAGACAGTAAAACTTATTAATGATTAAAAGTCATTAAGCTGCTGTGATAATTCCTATTTAAGTCTGTGAACAAATTTAAAATTTGCTTTTATTTTGTATTTTTTTTTTTTTTTTTTATTCACTACCCTGAAGGATTAAATACTCCTTGTAGGTCACCAAAATACATACCAGGAGTTAAACAACATTACACAGAATAATGCCTTTTTCTGCTTAGAGTATTATTGTTGCAATTCGGTGTCTCTTATTTTTGAAGCGCATGCTGAAATTGAATTGTCATCCCTAAATTTGTTCCATTCATTGAAAAATGTCACATAAAATTTTAAGGAGATTGCATAATATTTAGAAGATGCCTTTGCTTGTTAAAACTTAAAATATATAAGGTGGACAAAAAAATAGACCCTTTTTTATTTTACAATTAATAGCAAAATATGTGAATCTTTACAAATTATACACATTTTAAATAAAAAAAAAATATCTAACTTTATTTCATAAGCTTTGGTATTCATTTTTCTAGTAAATGTTTTATTAATAAATCTACCCAAACCAACTGTACAGCCAGAAAATTTTAATCATTGTAGTAATGAGAAATCATATTTGGAAATGGAAATTTAGAATAGTATTGGCAATTGTATCAAAATTGGTAAAAAATATTGGTATCATCCCATCATTAAAATTTACACTTTAGTATACACACATACATACATTTGCACAATAATTGCTAAATATTGGAAAATAAAATGACAGAAACATTTTAATTTGCTATGACATTCTCCAAAAAACAAAATTCTCAGTTTCTGAATTTTAACATTAAATCCTTTCAAAAGCTCTGAACCGTTCCTTGATATTTTCTTAATTTCACAAAAACAATAAGATGCAAAAAAAAAAAAAAAAAAAAAAATGACACGTGTTTGTGTTTAAGCAATTACTTTTTACTTTGATTAGCTTTATTTCCCACTTGTTCATTCTTAAAAAAAATTTTTTTTAAAGTGCTGGTGCTGAATGAGACATTTTTTTTTTTTTAATGTAGTAACATTCATATAATTGACGCACACACACACAAAAAAAAAAAAAAGAAAAGCTCCATTCAGTCCAAAAAAATAAAACAAAAAAAAAAAAAAAAAAAAAACCCTAAGAAACAATTAGGAAAAGAAATATGAAATAACAAAAGAGCCTGAAATGTGCAATGTTCAATGAGTGCTTTAAAAGCATGATGTTTTTATTCCTTCTTTTTCAGAGAGTTCCTGAAAAGGAATAAACACAGAAAGTAAATACAAATTGATGAGTTTGATAGCAACATGTTACATTAAAGTCAAACAAAAACAAAAGTTTCTTTTCGCCAGACCAGAAAGCACACTGCTTTAAGCCTGTTTTGATTAAAAACACATTCCAGACATGTTTTCTCCCCAACCTATCCACAGTTAAACATCAAAGACTTCTCATCTTCAATCGTGGGTGAAAACACAAAAAAAAAAAAAAAAAAAAAAAAAAAAAAGGAAGCAGCATACAGCATTTAATGATATAACGTCATCAAAGGCTTCTATTTTCTACTGATTTATGCATCGGAGATTATATCAGGCATGTTTTTCAGGAACTTACATATTTCTCCAATGTTGGTGTCAGTTTCATAGAGAAACAAAATCGGTAAAAAAAGTAAATTGTCCTTAATTTTTTTGTGTACATTTCTTCTCTAACCATCCTTTCTTCAAAGAACAATGTTCAAAAGTCTTTTGCAAATCCTTTGTTTGCTCTCTAAAATCCAATAAGAACTTCCATTTTTTTGTAGCGGGAGAGATTGGTACGAAAATCCGAGGCATTATAAACCTTAGTACTATGGTGGTGTTTGTTAAAATTTTTAAAGGATTTTGGTGTATCTGCTAAAAATAACATTTGCCATGTTTTTAATTTTTATTTTTTTGTTACACTTCACCCAATATAAGACTCAGGAGTCACTCAAGGTAGAGAGTTACTGATTGGAATGTGTGATATGAATGTACGAGGAGATGGTAGGAAGTGAAGATTATGAGAATAAGCTTACATCCATATCATGTCGAAACATTGGTTTCCACATGATCAGCAAAGTTAAACCATGTTGAGCTTGGTCAGTACCTAGATGGGTGATCACTTGCGAATATCAGGTGTTGTAAGCTTGGATGTGCGGGTGGTGTAAGAAGTAATGGCTTGGAATTGTTAATCCGAGAGCTGAGTTCCAATTCCAGTCGGGTTCGTTATAGTCACTTAAGCACAAATACCCTTGGGAAAGGTATGAATTGATCTCATCTCCCCCCCCCATGAAAAGGGTTGATAAGTCATGAAAAGCAAATCAATGAATCATATACTGATTAGCTACAAAGACAGGTCTTTTAGATTTATTTACATTCTCTAGATTGGTTTGTTTTACAGCATATCAACCTCAATGGGTTATTTAATGCTGACAAGATTTTTATTGCTGGTAATTTTTTTTTTTTTTTTTTTCAAAAATGTATTTGCTAGTCATATTTTTTTTTTTTTTTTTTTTTTTTTTTTAAATGTATTACTGGTAACAACTTTCTTCAAAAATTTATTGCTGGTAATATTTTTTTTTCTTTTTTACAATGTATTTCTGGTATTAAAACCTATTTTCACACTTTCATAGTGTTTTGACCCCAGTTTGAGGGTTAACTATTTAACCATAGCTGGGACCCTAACCGGTGCTCCTATCCCAGGTCAGGGTGGATCTGAGGACACCAGCAATTAAGAGATGGTTCCTCACTCTTCAAAACCTCTTGATTAGAGACCTTGCTGTTGGATGTAGTTAATCGTTTTACCTAGGACACAGATGTAGTTTATTTTTATACCCAGGATGAACATTCTCTAGAATACAAATGTATAGAAACTGCCATGTCTACAAAGGGAGGAATCGGTTTTCATAATATATATTTGATCCCCCACTTTATATCCACATAATTCTTTTTATCAAATTCTGATGCAGTATGAAACCACCTCTTCTCCTCCAGCTATGGGTTAATTAGTAAGAACCCATTATTAGCTAAAAAAAATTCTTACATTCTAAAGATATTCCCTGGTTTTAAATAACCTGCAAAAGGGTTGATAAGCTGTAAAAAAATCAAATTAATCCATCAATTAAATCTCTCATCTAATATAACATAACTTAAAAATTAGTCAATCACTATGTATATATGTATTATCAAAGATGTGGACTTTACTATTGAGTTATCCTAAATGGACAATAATTGTTTTAAATTATTCTAGAGGCTAATGCGTAGAAATAATTGTGGATTTGAATGCGGTTATTTGTAGGTATTTTATAATTTTGTTTCTTAACTTTTTGATCATTTATTATTGATTACTTAATTATTTGTTGCTAATTATTAATATTTCCTTTGATTTCTGCTGTGTACACATTTCATTCTGTGTCCCGCCCAAAGACCCTAAGGTTAGAAATGGCGTCATGACATTTTCCACTGACCAATTAAAAAACAAAAAAAAAACAAAAAAAAAAAAAACAAACATAATTTATATAGATGAAGCCCTTTGTAATGTGTGGGCTGTACTTATGAGAACAATTTTTTGTATTTCTTTAAGGCATGAGCTTCCAGGAATCCCTTCAATGAGTCTACTGGAATCTTTTCCAACCAATCTGAGGGTTCCAACTACAACAGGGATTGTTGATATTCTCATGTGCCGCATTTGAGATTTCGATTTCAAGGTCCTTGTATTTTGATACCTTTTTGAAGATCTTCAAAGATACATTGCAGTCTGTAGGAACAGCCATGCCAATAAGGAGGCACTTTTTTTATTTGCAGTCTAATAACAATGTCTGTGTGTAATATGCAGTCTCATAAAATTGTAACAGGCCTTATCTCCGTAACCGGGTCTGGGTGGTATTCATACTGATTTCTTTTAGTTTCCTTCCTGTAGAAGTTACATATTTTCCAGTGCAGATTTTGGCCAAATCTGTCATGCTGGGTTTTATATTCAGTGGGTGCCAATACCGTGCAACTTGATACAAGATGATCAATTGTTTCTTGATATTTATCACAGAATTTTCATTTTTGGTTAACACAATATTTTAGTATATGTGCTTGATAATTTCTAGTTAACAAGCATTGGTCCTGTGCAGCAAGGATTAAACCTTCCATTTCAGCTTTTAACCTTGCACTACGTAGCCACCAATGGGTACAAAGTTTGTCTATATCAGCTTGTTTAGTACAAGCAGGGTATTCACAAAGAAGCAGATTATCTTGCCATTGTTTCTGTAAGTATTTTGCAGCTTCAGTTGGTGTATTGTGCATTACTTGTATTTCTGCACCCATTTGAAACTCCATTTTGAAATTGTTGGCTTTCTTTATTACAGAATAAAGACGCTTACTACTTTCATATTCTTTGACACATATCATCATCCAGTCTTCTGTAGTTTATTATTATTATTTACTTGTATTTAAGTGTGTATTCGTAGTTTCTTAATTTGTTTATTTATTTACATTTTTTATTTTAATTTTCTTTTTCTGGGGTTGGTAATCTTATTTTAGTTAGATTCTTAAAATTATAAAAGGTTAGTGAACTGGTTGTTGGATTATCTGAAAATAATCTCATATTAATAGCCGATGGTCTATGCAAAATGTTAGTTACACACGTCTAGAGACACACACAGACAACCTACTACAATAATGATTTCCATGAAAACATAAATAGAAATTATCATAAACATGTTGTACCCAAAACTATCCAAAGAGCTCAAAATAGAATTAATACCATTGCTGTAAGTTCTGCAAAGACTGAAAGAGGGTCTTCTGTGACAAACAGAATTTATTCTGACAAAAGAAATCATTTTGAAATTAAAAATATGGCAAATCTAGTCATAAATTTGATAGTTCTTTCATTGGATCTTTGTGACCAGCTGTGATTCAGTTCAAATATGGCTAAGAAGCTAGAATACAACTGATGACAATAGAGAGTTAAAAAGCATCACATTTCTAAACAGAAATATAACGAGCAGGATTTCCATCTGGAAATATCTTAATGAATAAATGTTTTCTATTTATCAAAATGGTTTAATTCTTTTTGATACTATAAAGTGATTTGTTTCCTTTGTTAGATTAAAAAAAAAAAAAAAAATAAGCAGAATAGGTTCCTAAAGATTATCTGCCTTTATAGAACTGATTCCTGGAAATTTGGGATGCCATGATTATCTGTATTATTGTAGGCTGATGCCATTTTCTTTATATTTTGTTTTCCTCAAACATGAAACAAACTTGCCTTTGAGTATTGAGTTAAATGTCCCATTTTATATTTACATATGCTCTATCCCTGATATTGAGCACTTTTACGCATACATATAGGGTACGTTAAAACTACCGTATGTACTAGAGTATAGTGATAGTTTCTCTGATCAATTTTTTTTATGTAAAAAAAGGGGAGTCACACTATTCACAGGTAATTTCTTGAAGAGGTTAAAAATCATGCATTTTTGATGATTGTTTGCACTATACACAGGTAAATTTTTTTTCTGAAGGAGTTAAAATTCATGCAAAAATTTTAGGGATCATATTATACATAAAGGCTTATACACAAATATACATAGTATATATTTAGAAAAATATGACAAAGTGGAAAGTTTTTTCTGTGACGTATTTCATCTGATGAAATCCTAGCAGATGAAACGCGTCACAAAAAACCTTTCCAGTATGTCATATTTTTCTAAATACTGTTTTGTTGATATATAAAATTATCCAAAATTATAAATCGTTATATCATATAAGTGAACATTGAAGTCAACATGCTGTTTCAAACAGCCTGTCGCCTCTGTGTGTTGACTTCAGTGTTGACATTCATGTTATATCGATATATCTCCAATATCGAAACTTTATCCCAAAAATATAGCATACCTTAAAACTATATATATATATATATATATATATATATATATATATATATATATATATATATATGTGTGTGTGTATGTATGTAACACATTGAGTGCTGGTGGTAATAAATGTGCACCTGACAACTGTTACATGTATGAAGCTTGGCGTTTTATCAAACATTCAGGAATACAATATATATTTATTATCAGCCTATAAAAATTGGTGTCATGCTATATTTTGTTAATGTCTGAGCATGTTGTCCAAATACATTTTCCATATTTTATATTACACAAAAATATATCAATATAAAAAGAGTATAATTTATAATCGTAATGCTAAAATTTCAGCCAATAAATAATGGATGATTTCTTTTTGTATTAGGAACAAAATCAACCTGCAAGACTCACGAAAATGACGAGCAAAGATTAAGAAAAAGAAAAAAAAAATGGATTGAAATAGAATTCATGTGAAAGAAAATCCTGAAATATCAGACATGAATATCAAACCATCCAAGGAGAATGTAATTGGAAATGACACTTCAAGCAAAACCTACCAACAACAAACCTTAAATTTAACTATGAAGGTTCTGATAGAAAAGTTTTGCAAAAAGAATTAATTAAAAAAAAAAAAAAAAAAAAAAAAAATGCAAATCAAATAAAGCAGGAATTTAAAAAAATAAACCAAAATCTTTGCAGACAAAGGTTTGGATACCAATCTTTACAAATGAGAAGGGTTCAGATCCCAAGCATTATATACCAGGAAAGTCCAGATTCCTGATTTTTAGATGAGAAACTATGGAGGTTGGGAGGTTATCACTTACAGGGTTCTCATAACATCTGTTACTTCCATATATATGGTATATTTAGTTTGGGTGTATATTAGCCTTGTGTCAGGACTAAAATTAAATGTACAAAGTGTGGATAAAGACATAATATATTTTTATACGACAATATAATGCAAAAGGGTAAGGTAAAAATATTTATACTATTTATATTGTTTGGATTTTGAACCAAATCCACTATTTTGTCCAACAAGGTAGATTGTTCTACTTCCACATGCCATGCCTTTTCTGGATATCTCAGTTTCAGTTATCTCTCTTTAGTATTTCAACTCTCAAGAAAAAAAAAAAGACATGGCTTGTGAAACTTTTTGGATTATTTCAATCTATGTTTTCAGTACACAAAATAAAGAAATTCTTTGATATCATCATCTGAAGGTTGGATAAGGTCAGAATGACCTGAAATGTTGTGAATATGGCACAAAGATGAGGACAACAATCCAATATAAATAGTTACAATACCTCATCTCAGAAATATAGACAGATATAAAGTAAAAGTTGAAGTTTCTACAGAAATACCATATCAAAAAAGAAAAAAAATGGGAAGTATATATTCTATCCAACTTTCATTTGACCACTTCACTAAGTACTGAAGGATGGTGGTGAAATAAAAAAAAAGCAACCAGCAGTGTTTAATTCAAGCTCTCATGGCAGGTATTCCAACCTAAGTCGTTCCTTCTTGAGTTCTGTCTCAAAATCTCTAACAGATATTTCCGGCCACCAACCACCAAAAACAAAAAGAAAATACAAAAAATTTACATGCAAACACTTTGTTTCATATACCCATGAATCTATATTGATTACATGTGATCCCATAATTCATTGCGTCCATGTCCAATTGCATTGCATCTTTATTGCATAAAAATGCAATGCAAGTCCCTCAAACATTCTTTTAGCGTTATCTGGCCAGGGACAGATTAATAAAAGAAATGAAATCAAAAGCTTTTTTCAGTAGAGTCATTTCAAATGCAATAGCTTTACATGCTAATTGCACAGGCTCTTTTTTGGTGGGGAACAAACATTTGCAAAACCAGTTGAATCTTCATCCCGTCTGCCATAGTTTTCAAAACAACAAACTGTAAGGTCACCAGCTAATTGTACAAATTTTATATTTCATCTCTGGGTATGTTACAATGAGCATAACATTGGAGAATAGACAAAATTAATTTATTGACAAATTTGTAAAGGATAAGAATTCATCTGTTTATATACATATCTATAGCTCAACTTTGAAAAGGCTGCTCACATCGAATTTGTTCATGGCCTTCTATCCTGGTTATGAAAGATTTTCTCATAAGGTGGCTGAACAATTTAGTCTTAGAAATTTTGGTCTTCTTATTTCTTTCTTTTCTTAGATCCTGGTTGTGAATAGCGGAACAGGCAAAGATCTACACGATCTCAACAGCCAAACTGGTGGAATAAGGCAATGCCTACTGGGCTGGCGTAACTAAAGTGAACCATAACATGCCCAGTATCCAACAGTCTCATGCAACCAGGTTTACCAAATCTCATCTGTCTGAATATTTTAATAATAACTCTCTGGCCAAGTGAGAAGGCTTTTGCATTATAAATAGAGAAACCATTTTCAAAATAAATTTAAATTGACATTCTTGTCAAAATGAAAACATCAATCACAAACACATTTTCAAAGATCACCACCACAAAAGAGAATAGGGAGAGAGAATGATGATCCCGCTGCTTGAATGCAAATGAGTGCCAAATACAATGGTTGTGAAAACTTTCAGATTCGTTTGTCAAACCATGATATTGTTTGCCATTTTTCAAGAGACAGTGAAATTTACGTTTTTTTGTTATTGCTTTTTATTTATTTCTATCGACACAAAACATCTGAATCTCAATATGAAAAATACAATGTGGATAAAAATTAAAGTAAAGAAATCATAATTTAAAAATTGAAAAGTTCATCCAGTCAGATTCTTATTAAAGTCTAAATATTAGAGATTGAAATAAAATGAGCCGTTTTTTTTTAGTAGATATGTGACTGGAATCTTTTCCAACAACAATTCTAGGACTGAACCCCTTCAACATTAGCAGACAGAAATAAAATCAAACTGAGAAGAAAAATATATTGAACATGAAATATGCAAAACGACCAGGCAAATTTCCTTCTGATTTTGTAGATAATTCCTCAATTGGATTACAATCAATTTATCACTAAAAAAAAAAAAAAAAAAAAAAACACAAACACTTTACATCTGTCATTTCATTTTGAGAAGATATCTTTTGAATCATGACTTTCTCTTGCACAATATGATTAAGAATTTGATTCATTTTTACAAGTCTCTCAGATGTAAATGATACTGAAAGAAAACTCAAATTCATTTATCTTCCACCAGTTTGTTAACATCTCATCAATGTGGACGTGTATTAACGTCTCATCAACATGCCTGTCAATTGGACAAGATTTAACAATTGAAATAGGCAGAATGTAAAAATGGAAAGCTACAAACTTAGAGAACAAAAAGAAGACTATTATTTTGCTTGTTTGTACAAGGGGGTGCTGAAAAGTTCTTTGCCTGGTGAACCTGCCAAAATATCAATGTACTAATCCATTTTTCTTTTTCTTTTCATCCTTCTTGGTTAACTGAGAACAAACACATCAGCACACCTTATATTCAAATTTTTAAAATAATAAGTAAATGCTAAATTATTTCACATTTAGGTGACATTATATATCCATAAATTCCTTCATGGATCATCAATTACATTGGTTCTTGGGCTTGCAGGTAAAAAGAACCTGAATGCAATGCCATCAGGTGCTCTGTCTGTTGTTAGGCCTACCTTTTTGAATAAGAATTCAGGACCAGACTAAGCTCAAAATAACACCTGACGGTATGTGACCATTCTACATATGGGAACAAATTTCTGAAAGAAATGATACAAGCTGTAACATCATTGAACCTGCCTGTCAAGCGAGGTTTGCCACAGTGAATGATGTCATCTGAAATTTATAGAAACAGTTTGGTTGCTGCCAAAAAGTTTAAATGGGCAGATGAATAATTAAGAAATAGTAAATAAAAAGAAATAAATGATATTTCAAGACATGAACAGTGAAATGAGAAAAGTCTACAGCCCTGAAGATTAAATAAAAGGTTCAGAATTCCCTGTAGGTTAGCCAAATGCAATATACACCTAAGGAAAGCCATATTCAACAACAAAATAAAAAATTGTGGTTACAACAACAAAATGAGAGAAACAAAAAAAACAGATACAAGTGTTTTGAAAAAACAATCAGACTGAGTATCTGTGTATCTATGAAGGGCTAGTTTCTAGCGGGGGACACAAAAAAAAAGGTTCAGAAACACTGATCTACATTATAAAAATAGAGATGATTCTCTGTCATGCACTGTATGAAGCCCCAAAACCTCTGTAGGTAGAGGGTTACTGAGTAAGAGGCAGAGTTTATAGGGATATATGCGGAAGATAATAGTTGACCCTAAACTTGAACAATTTAAACATTGTAATATGGATTGGTGAAGGATTGACTTTTTCGAACCAGTTCTACAAAGCAGCATATGTTTTCATTGGATTACACTGACAACTGAGTAATTTAATATAAATACAAAGTTTGAAATAAGACAGTGGAATAATATATTACCCTTCAATCTGGACAAATGTATATCTTTCCTGTCCAACAAATTTAAAAAAAAAAAAAAATGAATTTTGTGTACTAGAAGAAAATAATAAAGTCCTTTTGAATCTAAGAGAGACAGATTTTCTAATAAAAAACATTTTCTAAATTAACAAATTTTTTTTAATCATTTCACTCCAAGCAAGGCAATAAAGCCACTAAGATGCAAGGGGTTACTAGAGAATAAAAAAAAATACTAAGGAGAGAAACAGTTAAAAAACAAGAATTAAGAAGATAATGATCATTGCATTTAATTTTTTGAAGCTCAAAGTTAACTAAGAAGCAAGAAACCAGAAGAGAGTTCCACAGGTAAGAAGTGCAATAGAAGGAACTATTTACCAGAGAACTTACAGTTACATCTAGCCATTTCAACTGTAAGATGACAAGACCTTGCTGATAATCTAGTACTGAGCTTAAATTCATAAAGTCTAGGTACCATCACAGAAAATCAATCAAAATAATTACCATGAAAGTATTTATTGAAAAGGCAGAGGAAAGTTACATTACAATGGTGGGAAAGTGACTGAAGGCCGAGATACCATTGCTGATTCTTTGGATTTTATCAAGAATCTTGAAATGTTATAGCAAGAGCAACAGACCAATATTCAAAACATGGATGAATTTATAAATATGTAAGATATATTTGAAAATTTTTATCTCCAGAATCTAACAGTTTCAAATCATGCCAGAGAGCACAGATTTTTCTAATAAGTTTTCTTGAATATTCAGACTGGAAAATGAATAAATATTTTGTCTAATAAATAAATAGAACATCTACTTATATGGATATCCACTAAAAATAACATTTAAGTAATAAAATATGTCTCTCTCTCTCTCATATATAATATATTTGGTCTACTCTGTATTGAGCACAAAAAAGAATATGTTTTGTACAGATTGGAAATTAAAAAAATACACCAAAAGAAATCTGTGTGTGTGTGTGTGTGTGTGTGTGTGTGTGTGTGTAAAAATATAT